AGCCGCTCTGAGACTCCTTTGGGTAGTGAAGGGCAGGGTATAAATCCAATCTCTTCTTCTTCTTCTTCTTCTACTACTACTACTACATCACTACAGTGTGTAAAATGGCACTGGGGCATGATACTCCACTGAGGTCCCTCCCCTTCCCAACCCTCCCCCAGGCTCCACCCTCAAAATCTCCAGAAATTTCCAAACCCAGAGATGGCAACCAGTGTTCCCTCTAAGTTGAGTTAGTGTGAGCTAGCTCACAGTTTTCTAGCCTCCGGCTCACACATTTCCGTCTCAGCTCAGGAAGGATGGCTCTGGAGCAAACTAATGTATGCAGCAGCCATATCACTCGCTCACAACCTTAATGCCAGTAGCTCACAAGGTAGAATTCTTGCTCACAAGACCCCACAGCTTAGAGGGAACATTAATGGCAACCCTGAGACATCAGCTGTAATTATAACTCCAGCCCCCCTCTGGAAGTTGGCACGCCTGGAGGGCATCATGACAGTTCTCAACAGATCATCTTCCAATGGCCAACAGCAATTTGAGGCAAAACACGTGTGCTTGGTTTGTGTACACCCTGCGAAAAGCCGCTTTTCTTAGCCCCATATTGGGAGAAGGGAAGGAGTCTAGCTAAGTGCACGCAGGCAGATGTCTCTCATACTCCCCAGGCCTCCCCAGGACTCAACAGAGATATTGGTTTCATATCTCATTACACTTGCTAACTCATTCAGTCCTCACATATGTATCGTGAACAAGGAGGACTATACATCCTGTGTATTTTAGTGTATATCTTTTTCAGAATAGTATATTAGAATACTGACTATAATGCAAGGAATATTGGGATGTTCTGCTGCATCCACCTCAAAAAAGAATTTCAATTCAGCGTGGCAAGAGAAAGTTTGGGATCATTTTATAATTGCAAAAATTACAGACTCCTTGATGAGACCGAATAATAGTAATACTCCAACCTATACTAAATTTGTTAGGACTTGGGCCCCTGTGTTAGAGGTAGTGAAGGGCAGGGTATAAATCCAATCTCTTCTTCTTCTTCTTCTTCTACTACTACTACATCACTACAGTGTGTAAAATGGCACTGGGGCATGATACTCCACTGAGGTCCCTCCCCTCCCCAACTCTCCCTCAGGCTCCACCCTCAAAATCTCCAGGAATTTCCAAATCCAGAGATGGCAACCCTGAGACATCAGCTGTAATTCCAGTATAACTCCAGCCCCCATCTGGAAGTTGGCACGCCTGGAGGGCGTCATGACAGCTCTCAACAGATCATCTTCCAATGGCCAGCAGCAATTTGAGGCAAAACACATGTGCTTGGTTTGTGTACACATTGCAAAAAGCCGCTTTTCTTGGCCCCATATTGGGAGAAGTGCGCACAGGCAGATGATGTCTCTCATACTCCCCAGGCCTCCCCAGGACTCAACAGAGATATTGGTTTTGTATCTCATTACATGTGCTAACTCATTCAGTCCTCACATATGTATCGTGAACAAGAAGGACTATACATCCTGTGTATTTTAGTGTATTTCTTTTTCAGAATGGTATATTAGAATACTGAATATACTGCAAGGAATATTGGGATGTTTTGCTGCATCCACCTCAAAAAAAGGGGGAAAAATGCTGTTTAGTGACCTCCACGCCTGAGAGGAGAGAATGGAGCGTATCAGTTTACCTCCCACAATTAGAAAAGGTACCTTTGTACATTTATCTGCTATTTTGACATATTTATTGTTTTACAACTGTTGACCTTATCACCTTAACTTCTTATTTAGCTTAGCCTTCGCACATCTTACATGTTAATTTGCTGTTCGGCCCCTGTCTATAAGTTTGAACCTTACCTACCATTCCAATGTACTTGAAAAAGCACGCATGCACACAAAAACTCATACCTTGAATAAAACCTCGTTGGCCTTAAAGGTGCTGCCGGACTCTAAATTTGTTCTGCTGCTTCAGACCAACAGGGCTGACCGCCTGGGTCTATCTCATACTTTTAATTTACTGAAAAGATTCCCAGCTCTTGCTGGGGTTGCCAGTCTCCAGGTGCGACTTCATACCCTGCCCTCTCTACTATCGTAGTTTTCTACTGGCAAGATTTTTTGATTCCTAGAAGCAGGGCTATTTTTGGGCAAGAACGCGCAGGAACGGAGTTCCGGCTGGCTCCAGAGTTGGCCACGCCCATCAGGAACTCATTAGCATAATAAGCCACACCCAGCAGGAACTCATTAGCATAATAGGCCACACCCAACAGCAGGAACTCATTAGGATTGGCTACATTAGGGGTGTGTGGCCTAACATGCAAAGGAGTTCCTGCTACAAAAAAAGGCCCTGGGTTTTGACAACAAACAAGGTAAACAGAATAACAAGCAAAAGGTGGATGTGGCTGGATGACCACACTTCTGGTAACATGGGGGTGTGGCCTCATATGTTAATATGCTGTGCTGTTGGGTGTGGCCTATTATCCTCCCCGCGCTCTGCTCCCAAACCTCTAGGAATTTCTACAACCCTGAACTGGCCACCCTTCCTCTCGCCAACCGACACTCACGGTTCTGCTTCCACTGTCTCCTTCTTGACCACGTAGTTGTACGGGACGTAACCCTCCTCCTCCTCGCAATCCCTTCCAGCGCCGTCTAACTTCTTGGCCCACCACCAATCTCCATTCTTCTCCAGGACCTGGAAGAGGTCCCCTGCCTTGAAGCTGAGTTCGGTCTCCGTCATCGCTCTGAAGTCCCACAGACTGGTGTAGAGGCAACTCCGTGAGTCCCGCGGTAGATCTGATTTGGTACTCATGGTTCCAGATGTTGA